GCAGCTAACTACATGGGCAGTGCGGACCACGCAACTTTTGAGTTTTAAATCTTTTGGCTGGTGCTGTGGCTATCAAACCTATGAGTCCCGCACAGATCGTTTTCCAACGGAGTCCATCTTCCTCCTCGCCCTCAAACCCGTCTCGCGCCCACCATGGCTCATGACATTCGCCATCCATACGCAGAGTACCTGCATTTTTTTTCAGTTCGCCACAAAAGCGTAGTTTTCGCCCATACTCCGTTCCTTAATTCGAACTAAGCGGGATCGAACTTTCGACCGTTAATTAGACGTAAAGCCGGTCTCGCCCATGTTAACACACCTCGGCGAGAGGTTTAACGTCGCATGATCCGTTCCGATCTTAATTCGAATTACCCTCGGCTGCCCATGCAAACAGGGTTAATGCCATATCTGTACCCGACCGGGGGATTGTGGTGGTAAACGGGGCAATCGAAGATACTGACGAAGGTCAGGATGCATGAGCACTCGGCCTATGCCCACGGCTTCAGGTTCTCGCTAACTCAGGTTCTCGCCATAAGCGTATGGACGGGGCGGGGCGAGGGGCTAACATTCCTCCTTTCCCGTGAAAGCGGTGACCCAGCGGTGCTGCATATGTCGTGCTCTGCTCCCGAAAGCGGACGCTGGCCATTTAAAGTTGCCGCGTCGCGCAGTGGCAACCCGGTGATTGTCAAACCCCGACGTTTTGTATGCGCTGGGTCATGGCCGTTTTAAAACGCACACAGGAGGCTCTGACAATTGATGAAGTGCTGCATGGTGATGTAGCTCTCTCTTCGTTCGGAGTTGTTCCTGACGTGACCGGCCCCCAAACGATCACATTGCGGTGGGGTAAATCGAGTGTTCACAGGTCGAGCTCGGTCATTTGCTCATCACGCTCACAGATCGAGCTTGGTCATTTGCACATCACGCTCACAGATTGAGCTTGGTCATTTGCACATCACGCTCACAGATCGAGCGTGGTGATTTGCTCATCACGCTCACAGAACGAGCTTGGTGATTTGCTCATCACGCTCACAGATCGAGCTTGGTGACTTGCTCATCACGCTCACAGATTGAGCTTGGTCATTTGCTCATCGCGCTCTCAGATCGAGCTTGGTCATTTGCTCATTTCGCTCACGACCCAAGACGTAGGAGCCATTCTCCTTAAAAGTGTGGTTGCTCGCACTGCTTTCGCACTACTCATCGTGTCTGAAGCAAACGGCATGCCGAAAAGGATATCCGTTAGGATATCCTTTTGGTTTTTTTAAAGTTAAAAAAGTTACGCGATTGGATTTCAATGCAACCAAAAGTCTGGGTTATTTCTTCCTTTGAATTGTTTTTTTTCGCGTCAAACTTT